CWRYTTCAGGAGTRACCAGAAGTTAAAGCATGCTGTTAAGGGCACTGACCAAATGTCCCTTAAATAGTGACATGCTGGAGGCACTGACCACCCCTCTAGGAAGCCTGTTCCAGAGTTTGACCACCCTCTCAGTAAAGAATTGCTCCCTAATGTYCAGTCTAAACCTCCCCTGGTGCAGCTCGTAACCATGACTGCCCATTGCTCAAATTTATCTCTGCAGGGACTCCTGKCCCTCAAGGGAGTCAACAGCACCTCCCYSTTTCATATCATCAACAAACCTGCTAATGGGGYATTCAATTTGTGCCTMCAGATCACTGACAGATATTTTGAACWGCACTAGCCCTASAATTGATCCTGAGGARCACCACTGGTCACCAGCCAGATGTAGCCAGGTGCTGATGCTTCACCCTCTGCCTTTCTCCTGCCCTGGGACAAGGGGGAATACTCTATTGCTTCCAGGCATTTGTTTTCTGAGAAAGTCCAACCATGCACAGAGATTTTTCTACTACTYAAAGAGCACAGAGAACCTGCAGTCAGTAGAAATGGCAATATCGATTCAGAAAATCACATCATTTTCCTTTCTAGCCTACGTAGGGGGAACAGATGAAAAACAAGCTACAGCTGTGAGATTTTTGAAGTTGAAAACTTGAAATGARCAGGACAGAGGCCCCTGGGTCAGGCCCTTAGTGCTTCATCTGCTACTCAGTGAAGTGAGAGGATTACATCATTGTTTGGTACCTGCTGCMTACCCCTCACTGAAATTCCTGACAGAGGAACCAACTTTCAGTTCTGAACAATTTGATTCCCCATTTACAAAAATAAGACATGAATTGGACTGATGTGCCAAAACAACTCGTGTAAGTCCTCATGCTGATAATACTTGAGTCAATRAACAGAAGTCATTTATTAGTATAAAAACAGGAATCTGTTAAGAACAACATCAGGGCAACAGCAAAATATGAAAACTCTACTCATTAATAGGATGTTGCTACTTAGCAGAAATTTTTCACAAGGCAGAACTTWGCTCTTTACGTGATCTGTTTTCCTAAATAGCTTCAAACAATACTYGTTTTAATATTATTTTCAGGATAGGCTGCCAAGAACGCAAAGAATTCAAAGAATTGTTTTCTAGAGGGAGAGAATTTGTGTTTCAAAAGAGAGAGGGGATTTCTTGTATCTGATAGCTTCTGTTCCAGATATGCACCTGACTCATTTGGATGAGCTGCTTACCTTCCACAACATTGATAGCCAACAGGAAAGTCATGGCCTAAGATCACCACGATCCTGTGAAAAGTACTCTCTGCTTTCCAGGTTTCCACTCTATTTTTTTTTTTTTTTTATCACAAAGTTAGCCAGAAATCTTGAAAATTATCTTGTAAAGCAGGGGAGTCAAAACTCGAAGTGAATTGTTTTCCCTGGAGGAGAGAGGGTAGYATGTAAGGCACCTACAGTAGAGAATAGAAATGTTAAGCTACAGAAAAGTTGATGTGAAAGTCTGAAGTTAAAAAAAAGTAAAAAAGTATCTTCAATCTAAGCTGCTGGCTCTTGAGATGCAGACACAAACCAGAGGAAACTCTTCTGCCAAGTAAAATGACTGGGAATATGCACACAGACTGATCTGAAAAATCTGRCATTTTAGAGAATCATTGAAGAATTAACAAAAGAAAGTAACTAAAACCATGCAGTCAGACAGTGGTATTCTCACCCCAAAGCTTGCTCTCCATTTGCATGCTGACCATAAGGAGTTGCAGATTTCCTAATTACCAAATTGAAAAGTTGTGATGTTGAAAAGAAATATTTTCTTTAAGGTTTTTTTAATCTCATTTTACAACATGGAATCTATTAATGAAATACTTGAAAAAACAAAACAAAACAAAACAAAATTTTGACCTACTACAGAGCTCACCTGTTCAATACTGGAAGGAAAGTTTTATAAAGTATGTCAAGTTGGAAGAAACCCACCAGGAWGACTGACTYCARCTCCTGGCCCTGCACAGGATACTCCAAGAATCACACCATGTGACATCTGTCACACTTGAAAGTGTTGTCCAAATGCTTCTTGAACTCTGTCAGGCTTTGTGCTGTGACCCCTTCCCTGGGGAGCCTGTTCCAGTGCCCAACTACCCTCTGGGTGAAATAACCAACCTAACCCTCCCCTGACCCAGCTTSATGCTGTTCCCTTGGGTCCTGTCCCTGRTCACCACAGAGAAGAGATCAGTGCCTGCCCCTCCTCCCCTCAYGAGGAAGTTGTAACTGCACTGAGGTCCCCCCTCAGTCTCCTCCAGGCTGAACAGACCAAGGGACCTCAGTCACTCCTCACACRGCWTYTCCTCAAGGACCTTCACCATCCTCRTGGCCCTCCTTTGGATACCCTCTAGTAGCTKAATGYCTTTTTTATATTGTGGYACCCAAAGCTGYCCCCAGCCCTCGAGRTGAGGCTGCCCCAGGTCAGAGCAGAGCRGACAATCCCCTCCCTTGCCCRGCTGGCGATGCTGTGCCCCGTGCCCCCAGGACACTCCTGGCTGCCAGGGCACTGCTGACTCCTGTTCAATTTGCCATCGRCCAGGACWCCCAGGWCCCTTTCCACRCCTCTCATTCCCTGGTCTGTCTGTACACATCACCAGGGTTGCCATGTCCCATATCCAGAACTCTGTTTTTTATCTCAAGCACCACTCCATGTATAACCCTCCCAGTCTTCAGGAGATACAATTAATTTACTAATCTGCACCATGTCAGGAGGACTTGGAGCCTGAGTAAGCATTAGGTCCACCTTTTCCTTCAACTTTTGTTTTTTTTTCTGTTCCTCCTATAACTGTCTCTGGAACTGTTCTATTTTGAAGGACAGTAGTAACTCAGTTGCTTTCCATCTGAGTTTTCAGTACTTTTTTTCTCTTAATATTAATCTTTTCTGTGGGGCAGGCAGCTTCTGGACAGGTGCCCAACATTTTGCAAATAATCACTTTCTCTTTTCCAGCCTATACATGGCCCCTAGCACCTTCTAGATGTTTCTCTACAGCTTTCCAATCACACCAGTTTTCCCGAGCCTATTTGTCTGACAACTTAGGACTTGGACTTCTTCCATGCTTTCGTAAGCAGTCAGTGATACTTCTTGCAAACCTGCTGACTACACCAATTTTTGGCAAATGTGTGTTTTGAAGTCACTTAACAAAGCACTGGCAAAGGTATTGTCAAAACCAGGTTTAATAGAGAAGTGAATGCACSGCAGAGTTCTTTGGCAAAGTTCACTCTACTACTTACCAGATGGTTGAAAAAAGCAAACAAAAAAACCAATACCAAACAACCAATCCAAGCCAAAATAAACTGCAAAATATCTCCATGGCAGGCTGCAGCTCCTGGCAAGTGTTGGGACATCACCTTCTTTCCTTGGGGCTTTCCCCAGGGTGTACTCAGCAATCAACTAGCCCTCACTCCTAACCTGTAATACAAAAGGAAGCAACACACAGAGGAGATTTTTTTCCAAAATCAATCCACTGTAATTATATGCAAATAAGAACAGTTGTCAAATAGACTAATCAAAATATTTAAAATTGCATATTTCCCTAGCAAATTTCTGTGAAGCAACATTTTACCTACTGCAGCAGAAAATTTTGAGGTTAGGTTTCTTCAGCGAAGCAGAAAAATGAGTTGGTTGTAAATGAGTGTGTTTGTTTAAATTGTTACATATCAGTTATCTATAAAACATTCATTCACTGTATTGTCTCTCTCTCTGCAATTTCTGTTATTTTGGCCATCTGAACAGCTAAGTTTATATTACAGGGACAATTACAGGRTTGGAATTCAGAAGAAAAATAGTAGAAGGCCCTGGTTCTCCAGGTTTCATTGCATTTTAATGTGAATTTRTAATAAGCATTCTAGGCTTAATCCTCCAAATATTATCAGCAATCATTTTTAATGTATTTACTCTAGGAGTTAATACAACTTGATCACTGAGAACGTCTCTGCATGGCTTTTGTATAGACTACCACACACTGAATACAGGACATTTCTTTTTAGTGTGAGCTAGAGGGAAGCCATCCCTTTTGTGCTGACAAACATCATCCCTGTGAACATAGCTCCAGAGATGAAAGCAACCCACTTCTCTCAGCATCTTGCCWTTCTGCTTACAGCATAACACTTCAGTGCATCTCTCCCACCCTCRCTCTCTGCAGCGGCTGTAGAGGGTGAGACAGACCCCAGAACAAGTTGCTCAGTTTGTCCCCAAACCCACTTCACACTCATTAGAGAATAAGACCTTTTCAAAATAAATGGATTCTACACAGCATTTATAGGCAAGAGATGACACTCCCTCTTCCAAAACGGCTGCTGAGTGCTTTAGGTGGCTGTTACTATAGAAATATTCTGTATGGAAAACCACCATCTGGTTTTCTAGAAACCTGCTCCATCCCGATGCRGCACTCTGATATTTCATTGCTCTGTCTGCTTCCCTGTGTGACATGTGCAGGATCTAAGAAATTGCTTGTGTGCCTATTCACGCCTCCATTCAGCACAGCACCCGCTCTCCTTCACTTCCTCCGGCATTTCACAGGGTAGGATAAGGAGACRTGTATGGCATTAGGAAATATTTCTCCCATTGCACTGCTTTGCATTTGCATTCTGTTTGCTTGGCATCAGGGAATTTTTCTCAAGAACAGCTTGCACAAATAGCTGTGTCAGGCTCTGTTCATACTGCTTCAGGACAGAGATACAAAATTCCAATGTTTGCTTTGGAGCAAGGGCTTGGAGAWGCATTAAGTAATGAGAGATTTTAACGGATGCCTTGAAGGCTCTAAAGTCAAAGGAAGAGAAGAAATGCATAATTTCATATCTCCAGCATAACTGATGCCTTTTCCATTTCAAAACAGAAGATATTAGCAAGTTGTCTGGCTTAAGAGCATCAGTTCATGGGAAGAGCCGGTACCTACCAATAAGCATGGAACAACTGCAGGGGTAAAAACTGTTCCTTCTGTTCACGAGCRTAATTCCTCTATTTTCTGTTCCAGCTCATCCTTGCCACATGGGAAGGCGGCTACAACTTGCAGTGCCAGAACCTCCACAGTGCAGGGGAGGCCGATATCCGGGTGAGTGCCAGCAGCAGCTCAGTCCTCAGCACCCACAGCASTCATTCCCTCCCCATCCCTGATGCAACAACTCTGCATTCATGGCAGCCAGAACAGTGCTCTTAGTAACGTCTTTAACATGAGGCTTTTCATCAAGTTGCCTAAAAACTGGTAGAAAACAAGAAGTCTTAYGTTTTTGATTCAATATAGAGACATCCTTGTAGTGGAAAACATGACAGGAAACATTTTGAAGAGCCACATATCAAGACCTGTAGTCAAAACATTGTTGACTGACTATTGAAACTGAGAATTACATAATTTAAAAACTTYGAGCAAAAATCAGTCATCTGAAATGTAACTGTTGGGCTGGAGCTGGAAATGGATTTAAGCCCAACTCTTAAAAACTGCAGAAACATTTTCCTGGCTTGACTCATCTATAGTTGCAGCCCTTACTTCTGCATCATAGCAATTCCATGTATTAACTTTTGTCACTCCCCACATCAGGCTTACTTTCCAGATGACATTAGACTTCAAGAACAGAGAGACTGGTTAACTTACATAATTTTGCCCAATTCTCAAAATTTGTCTGTGTTATGGCAAGGAAAAAGAGTGTTAAATACCTTTTCCCCTCAAAAAAATATGTTTTTCTGCTTTCTGTTTTAACTGTCTTTAACTGTCCTGGGACATATCCTGAGCTCTGATAAAATATTTCTACTCTAGAGGAGGATATATTTCATTGTATTGATTATCAAATCTAGATTTTTCAAAAGAAAAATCTGGCAGCAAAATCTGTTCAGTGTCCAGAAATTGGTAGCAGTCTTAACAAAGAAAAAAAAAAAAAAACCAACCCTAAAACAAAACTCAAAAACAAACCCAAAAACACCCCAAAATGAAATAACAACCCACTCACAAAACTGTACCTTTGAAAAAAAAAAGTACAATTAGAAATCCCTTCCTCAAAGTTTATATTTCTTAAATTATATTTTAATAATTATTTATTTATACTATTGCATAAAAGATGATGTGTGGTGTTTTACAAAAATGCTTCTTTGAAAAGCGAAGGAAAATTGAAGCCAGAGCTGGTGCTTCTCCTTCAGCAGCATATTAATGCCTTCTGGCAAGTTGCATGCCTAGRGACTAAAGCAGAACAGTAATGTCTAAGTGCTTGTATGGACAGATATTGATCTCCTGCTCCTTTGTTCTTGCTTGTACAGGTAGCCAAGGTGCTGTGGTGGTATTATTTTTCCAAAGTAATTGAATTCATGGACACTATCTTCTTTGTACTGAGAAAGAAAAGCAGCCAGATCACCTTCCTTCATGTGTATCACCACGCCACTATGTTTAACATTTGGTGGTGTGTTCTGAACTGGATACCTTGTGGGCAAAGTAAGTCTTTGTTTCCTTCCTCACCTGGGGTCTGACTCAGCTGCAGCTGGAGAGGAATCACATCACCACGCAAAGGAACTGTGTCACTGTGTGATATGAGGGCACCTTTAGGGTTCAGAGCCTTTYTGAACTGCTGACCACCTGTAGAACACAGGAAAGTTTAAGTAAAGTTCAGGCCAAAAACACCTGAGTGTTAGGCCCTAGATTTTCCACTTAGCTGCCACAAGCTCTTGCATTTACTTCTCTTCAAACAACTTTTAAGCACGGCAGTACTGACCAGCACACAGGAGCCATCATATACAGGATCTACACCCAAAGCAGATGCAGGAAGAATTCAYGACTCTGGTAAAACCATTATCAATCACAACAGATTAAATCAATGGCACTTTTACAGGGTCAGCTCCTGTATGCATCAATCTGACACTGCTTTAGTAAGATACTTCATTTATGCAGTCACTAATTAAAATACCAGTTTGTAATTGTCATCATCTTCCCTGCTGATGCCACAGGCTGGTTGCTTGGCATTTGAATAAGTCCAAACAGCAGAGAACTCCTTCAGCTGTCTCACAACATGCACACTTTTCCAGGGCTTCCCAAAGCTGGAGGCTTCCTGTGGCATTGCTTTCAAAGTTGAGGAAAAAAGAGYTTCCTTTCAACCTATTGAAGGGAGGCACCTCAGTCCATTGTAAAATTTTGYAAAGAAACTTGTTGCAGGTGCTTTTCAGAGCCAAAGACAGAATTCACAGTTGTTGGCACTTACTCATGGATACCACAAGATCAAAATAAATCACTGTTATACATAGAAGCAGGGATCAGAGATTTCATRGCAATCTGAAGCTATTTCTAGAGGTGTAAACAAATCAGAGGGGATTTGTGCTCTCTAACGTGWCTGAACCTGGTCCCCACACTTTACACTAGCACTGGTAATTAAATCCGTAATTAAAACAGTAGCTAAGTAATTAATCAGGGACAAAATCAGAGCAGCTGATGAGATATAATTGTAGCACTGCCATCAGCACATGAGCATACAGCAGAGAGTAGTGCTGCTATTCCTCCATAGTCTGTAAAGTATAGAGGATAATTAATTTCCTCTATCACTAGGATTCACTAAATGTAACTAATAAGAGTAGCAAGRTATTATCTGGGATGAAATTCTGCAAGTTTACATCTGGCAGAGGAAAACAAGAGCGATGATCAAATGCAGCCACAAGATGCTGGTTTAATTCAAAGTAAAGCCCTTGCTGCTGCATCAGAGTGTGGGAGTACAGGTGTCTCCCAGGCTCCTARGCTGTCATATTAGCAGCAAAATCATCCACAGCAGTGTTTAAAGCTTACAGGAATAATGGAAAGACTGATCGCAGAGAAGAAGGTTGCTGGGGAAGATAGCCTGTAAACTACAAAATAGAAAAYAAGTCGAAGGGAATAAAAATATGAGATAAAAATACAATATTCATCATRAGAAAAACCCTCTAGGAAGTATCATTTGGTTTGTCAGTTGTTCCTAGGACAGCACCTCTACATATCAGGAATATCTTTAGCAAGGAATAAGCRTGAAAGGAACACTTACCATATGCAGGAGATTCAATATAGAAGCAATACCCCAAACAATAACATCCTTTCTCACTTTTGAGCAGTTGGTATTTAATTTTTTTTTCCTGCTGGATTTTTATAGGTTTCTTTGGACCCACTTTGAATAGCTTTATTCATGTGCTTATGTATTCTTACTACGGACTGTCCGTCATCCCATCCATGCGCAAATATCTCTGGTGGAAGAAATAYCTCACTCAGGCACAACTGGTATGTATGTTTTACTCTCATTTTTAACTACCAGAAATCCCTCAAAATGTGAGAAAGGACCAGATGAGCTCTAGATAAACACTGTTATTTACACAATTAAGCCAGTTAGAATTAAAGTATAACAAAACTGTCATACAGCATAAGTCACTAGTGCAGCCTGATACAACTTCATAAAGGAAATTAYGTTTAGAAATGTTTTCTACAATACAGTAGAAACTCTGCAGTCTACTGCAAAATTCTGTTATTTTTGAACCATTCCATAGAAAATGACTGCTCCTTAACTGTGGAAAAAAACTGATTTAAAAGTCATAAAGAATGTCTGACAGAGCCTGGTTCAAGACAGATACCCTCCCTCCACCCTTGCTGGCCAAAGCTGAGCCCATCAGCAWAGATGGGGGCCTCTCTGTGATATCCTATTTATTTAAGGGTAAAAAACATTGCACAGCAGCTGAAAGACAAGGCAGGAAATGTGAGAGAAACAGCCCTGCAAGCGCCCAGGCCAGAGCAGAAGGAGGGAATTAGTGCCAAAAGCTCCCCTGCAGCCTGCAGTTAAGACACTGGTGTAGCAGGCTCTTCCCCTGGAGGTCYCTAGGGGASCAGAGCTCCATCCACCTGCAGCYCWGGGAGGACCTGAGGCTGCAGCAATGGACAGGTCAGCCCTGAGCAAAGCCACAGCAATGGAGAAATAGGTTCCTGCAGACCCACAGAGAGAGGAGCCCACCCTGGAGCAGGTTTGCTGGCAGMATCTGTGACTCCATGGGAACCCACTTAGAAGCAGCCTGTTCCAGAAGGACTGCACTCTGTGGAAGGGACTCACACTAGGGCARTTTGTGAAGAGCTGCAGCCTAYGGRAAAAATGCTCATTGAGACTCTCTCCCRTGGGAGGGACTCCACACTGAAGCAKGGAAAGAGTGTGAGAGAAAGGAACAGCAAAGACAAAGCAATAGGGGCTGACTGCAGACCCCATTCCCCTGCATCACGTGGGAGGAAGGAGGAGGAGGCAGAAGTGAAGTTGAACCTGAGAAGAAACAGGGGCTTAGGGAAAGGTAGTTTTTTTATTTCTTGCTATCCTTCTGTGGTATTAATTGACAATTATTGAAATTAATCTTCCTCAAGTCAAGTCTATTTTGCTTATGACAGTAATGGATAGTTTCATCAATTATCCTTCTTCCCTTATCTCAATCCACAAATTCTTTTCATCTTATTTTTGGCCCCTACTCTACTGAAGAGAAGAAGGGAGAGAGYGGCTGGGTGGGCAGCTGGCACCCAAGCAAGGCTAACCCACCATAGCATAGAAGAAGAACAAAGTACAAAATGATGTGAACCAACTTTAGGCAAAACAGGAGTTGACTGACTTCTAAAAGTCTGTACCACCAGTTGCTGTACCTGAAGAGCTGAGCCACATGAAAGGTTTCTATCAACAAGATAAAAGGCYTGATATGAAATAAAGTTCCTTTTACTTTTCTTCTGTTAGGGCCTGTTCATAATATTTGGCAGTTCAGATGTTTGCAGTGAGCTTAAAAATGCCTGTGTAGAAATAGTCGCTTAGAAAAAGCTGCTTTTCTGCACTGAGACCATCCCTGCAGGTGGAACACACTGCCCTGTTGTTGGAAATGCACCTCAGTAGACTGGATTGAGGGCATGCCCAGCTGGCTGAGGAGAATCAGTTGCACCAGCGTGGGCTGTGGCTCACAGTTCTAAATACAGAYGGGTTTCTGCAATTCCTTCCCCATCTCATTTTTGTTGTTTATCCCCTCCTTAATTGCACTAATGCACAGGCCAGCCTGTCTGGACTCCTTGAACCTGAGTTGTGCATTTTCTGTTCAGACTCCTAAAGCAATTGCCAGGAGACTTCAGTTTCCTCCAGTCTCTGCCCAGAAACAGAGACAACAACTGTACCTGTCACAACAAGGTCTGGAAGACAGAACAGTTCCTACCAAATCTGAGAGGAAAAAAAATGCTTCCCTTTTGTCAATTAGGCCTATAAACTCTTACCATTCAAAACCTCTGACCCCTTAGGGTTTTATTTAATTTCATAGGAGCACCATTTGAGCTTAACCCTCACAATACAGTCAGAGTTTAGAAAGGGATCATTTTCAAGAGTGCCCAAACTTTCAAAAAGCAGGACTAGGGGGCATTGCTGTATCTGATTTAGCCAGCACCAACCCTCTCAGCAAATACTTCTGGTTTATCTCCCCTCCACAGATCCAGTTTCTGCTCACTATTGCGCACACTCTCAGTGCAGCCGTGAAGCCRTGTGGGTTCCCATTTGGCTGCCTCATGTTCCAGTCCTCCTACATGGCCACACTGGTCATTCTYTTCATCAACTTCTACATTAAGGTAAGCAGCCTTCCAAGAGCTCTCTGACAAGAATGAGGAAAATAGAAYTTTTTGGAAAGCAGCGTGGATGGAGTCAGATGCAGAATGACTATCAGTGTTTAAAACATGTTTGTATTAACATGTATGTGTCACTGAAGACTAACAGATATGATCATGTCTGAGACTGATTCAGTAGTGATAACATCCTTGCAGCTCAGCTCTTCTGCACATGTATAGCAAATCAGGTGCTGCATTCCGTACATAGGAGGTCTGAATTTTCTTTGGTGGGCAACATTTTGAGTCTTTCTCCTCCTTAGGGAAAAAAAAACAAAACAAAACAAAACAAAAAAAACAAACAGATCTATCTTTGCCTTGTTTACTTCAACATGTTTTAGCAGGGACTGSTCCAGCCTGCCTGGATGCATAAAGCTTTTCCACTAAAAGGCTTGAAATCTCTTTTGACACTGAGAAGTATTACAGTAAGACTGGCAGAGTAACATCACCCACAGTAGTGAAAAAACYACAGTACCCTTGATGCAGTCTGAAGCAAATACCTTCATCAACAAACACCAGACAGCTCCATTTACAATTAACCATAAGTAGTGTTTGGGGGGCATTAAATGAATCCACCTGTTTACTTTGGATTTTGCTTTTATAGACATACAGGARAGCACCTTCAAGAACAGCGGTAAAGGAAACCCCCGCCACAACAGAAATCAAGAATGGTTTCCATAAGGACTACTTTGCTGCTGCCAATGGATTCCAGAATAACAAGAAGGCACAATAAGTATAGTGTTTCCTATGATCTTTTTTTCTAAAGAGAAAAAGAAGAAAAAAGACTGAATTACAAGCTTTAGCTTAAAACCTATTTGATTACATTTATCAGTTCTTTGTACCAGACACTTATTAATGTACTGCTATTTAGGTTTTAACAAAATGAGTAGAATTACTTGTCTTGTCCATGATCACCATCAGAACAAAGAAAGCCAAGATCTTTCTCATATGCAAAAGAAAACATTTCTGATCTATAATGCTGACACGAAAACGCCTTATGAAACACTTGGTGGATAAATCCATCAATGCCTTCAAAAGGTTAGGACTCTGTTCAGACTAACATGGTGAGCACTTCCTGTGCAGATGACAGGTCTTAAGGCAAGGCTTCACAGTGCACCCAGTGCATCCAGTTAAACTGTGGCCAAGGTCAGGAAAACAAAGGTGAGGGTGAGGGACAAAGGTGAGAATCRTACCTTTTTCATCACCATACTCCTCTTTTCTTCTTCTCGGAGAATCTCCAAAGCACACTCCTTCCCCATGGACACCAGCAAGTTGCCCTTTGATCCTGTGGGAGCCCTGGGGAAGGACATGACAGAGGGCAGAGCCCAGGTGCACCATCCCATAGCTTGCAGGCAGTTGTGCACCACACTCACTTGCATTACACAGAAGCAACCTGATCCAAAGAGCAGGAAGGCTGGCAGGAGCTTTCTGTTSAGGGAGCCCCTGGCACTGCCCAGTATYGTATTCTGAACACAGAGCAGAACAAGTCACTTTTGATGTGCTAAATTAATAGGAGTTCTAAGTAAATGGATTTTGAAAGAAATAGGATCTTAACAACTTTAGGAAGATAAATCTGTTGAGTGTAAATGTGTATAAAGTTAATCCTATACGAACACTGCTAATTTGGAACAAACTGACATGACGCATATTAATAGACTGGGACACAGCAAATTTGAAAAGTGAGTTCAGCAATGAGCAGAGCAGGTTACAGGGAAGTTTGTATGTCAGGTGCACCTTACTCAGACTGGTGTCTGGCTGGGGAAACAGATGGGACCGAGGAACAATCCCCTGTGGGGGAAGCGAAGAGACACTTGCTGTCTACAGCTGTAAAGGTGTCTCCCAACAGCCCATCCCCATCTCTGTTGCTTCAGTTCACTGCATTTAYCCCCCACTTAAATATTTAGAAGTAAAAAATACTCAGGGTTAACATTATGGATCTGCCCTCACCCTTTTCTCATTTAGCCCACTTAATCCTCTACTAAAAATAGACTCAGATGTTTTTCCTCACAGAGAAGTAACCTCTAGTCACTTCCATTCTCATATATGAAATTCTCTCAATAAAAACACCTTCTGRAGTCACTCTTGCCCAGCAAATCCCCCAGACTGGAGCAGTTCTCTAAAGGAAATGTGTTCTCTCGCTTCTGTCACCTTGCAGAGTYTCCAGGGCAGGATCCAGACAAAACACACACCCAGTCTGCCCAGAGGGCCCAAGCAGCCACTGAGGGCCTGCAGGTAGAGGAGGCTGTCCCAAATCCTGCTGTCCAGTTCTTCTACACCTCTAGAGGGTCAGTTATCCCCTCCAAATATTGCCATTTGGATGATCTGCCACCAGAACTCTTGGAGGCTGCAGGTGCAGAGGCAGGAAGAGGGTTTGTYCCAGGGAGCACTACAGACACAGGGGAGCCAGGTTCACCAGGAGCAGCCTGAGAGGCTGCAGCCATGAGRGCTCCTGGATAGGAAGGAAAGGGGCTGAGGAAGTGCTACATCAGGGGAAGAAGAGCAGATGGGATTGTCCAGAAAAAGCAAGAGGAGRAAATGGCATGAAGAAGGGTGTGTTGTATCAGAGTCCTGCTTGAATGTCCCATTGAATGGCATCTATCTCCCGCCAGTTCCAGCTCCATTGCAGTGTGGACAAAACTTTTCTRCTCCAGCAGAAAGCTGAAATTCCCAAAATGCTACAGCAGAAGCAGTACATCTGAGCAGCCTGACTGCTAAACTCCATCATCATGAACTGGACAACCAACATAACTGCAATATTCAAACACTTTTACACCACCACACCAACCTAGATATAACTAGTGCATATTCACATTTGCTCCTCTCTTCATGAAGCTGGTCACAAAACCTCATTGAAAATCAGTGTTTTGTTTCATTTAACAGTCAATAAGGAGGGAAAGCCACAACCCAAAAAAACAAACCAAAAGAACTCCAAAAACTTGCATTCACAAAGCCTGGACACTGTGTGCATACACTATTTCTCACTGGCCCTTCCAGGACCTTTGCTTTATAKGTGTTTCTGATTGCTACTGTAAAAATCCCAAGATGTAAGAAATCAGTGGGTTTGATTGAGGTGTTTCACACATCCCTAAGTAAAGGGAGAGCATCAGAGTTCTGCAGAAATCAGCTTGATACTGGAAGCTGGGGTGAAGGCAGAGGGATTTGAAAGAGCTGACAAGACATTGTGTGAGGCAATGAGCTGGACCATTCATCTAAGGCAGGCAAGAAAAAGATTTTGTTGTCCAGCATAGATTTTAGGCCGAGTGGAGTCCATAATCTTTTGATGGCAAAGCATGCATTTGGCTATCRAGGTGGAAAGCGTCAGCTGTGCTAAGTGTTAAAGTTTACTACAGCAATCAAACCCACAGATATTGTCTTTTGTTTTGTTGAAACCTCATTCAAAAGAAAAGGATATTAATAAATGCCTTACTTGAAATTCAAAGGGCTGGGGAAAAAAAAAAAAAAAAAAAAAAAAAAAAAAAAAAGGAAAAAGTCCAAGGTGGTCTCAGACCTTGCAGATCCAGATCAGCCAGGAAGGCTGGAATCAGGTATGTTTAAAATTCTTCAGATATGTCTTAACATCTTCAAAATGCCGCAACTTTGAAGAAAGAGAAGCATTGACTTTTTAAACTGATTTTCCTGTAATACATAACACTGTAAATAAACAAATTTTACTTTAAGGCTGTCTCCACTCCTCTTTAAGTCATCAAATTGGACTGGAAACTGGTTACTTGAGGCTGCTTTTGTTCTCCAACTTTTTCAGAAGTTATTTAGGACATTCACATCAGATTGGGAAAAAAACCTCCGTAACTTTATACAACACCTTCACTGGTGCTGGTGTAAAGCTTCCTGTGGTTGTTTTTGCCCAGCTACCTATTAAAACTTGTGCTTTTGAACAAAGTTAATATTGCAATAACTTGTTTGCTCAAAGCCTGTACTTGCCCACTAAATCAGTGTTTGACTGTCAGACTGTTTTCACTTGAAACGGATGGTAGAAAACAGGGTAGAGACAATGGAGAAATCAAATCTCAAAAATAATATTTCTCTGAGATTGAAAATACAAACAGAGGGAGCAGGTATGCCAACACTTGACCTTGCTCTTTTTGGCTCACCAAACGGCACGTTGTAGGGGAACAGGCAGAAGAAAAAGCTATTGAGGTTGATTCACCGGTTTGGGATGTTTGTAACTTCCCAAGGAATGAAGAAGGAGGAATGAGTTTTACTAAAAACCCTCCCAGGAATGATGGAATGAAAGGAGATAAATCAAGCTGCTGATGTGTTGTGCCAAGGCTCAGCTTTACAAGACTCTTCTCACARTCTGGCTATAAGTAATGCTTCTTCAACTCTTGCTTATGATAAACAAGAGTCATCCTGTAGTATGTGACCAGGAAAGGCTCCATGGCTGTGTTTAATTCCAGCACACAACAGCCCTCAGCTGCTCCTAGGAAACACATCTATTTTCCAGCGTATTACTCTCTCAGACAGAGTCCTACTGCCTGCAGAAGCAGGACCTGTCCCTGTRTGCTCCAGTCAGCCTCAGCACACCGTACTGAGAGCAGGGTGGGCTGTCCCCAGGCCAGGCTGAGCACACACAGGTGCTCAGCCACAGAGGACATCCTTTCCTCTGGCTTTATGCAGCCTTGACATGAGGTGGCTGTAGACCTTGGATGGGCCACTGCACTGGCACAGAATGGCCAGGTAAACAAGCACCTGGAACAGCATCATCCCCTGAAAGATGCAGATAGCAGGGGTTATAGCCAGTTTAATATTAAACCCTGTTWAGAGCTTAAAATGCATAAAGCAATTATCTTAAACCTGAACTTAATAGTCCTCTCTTTTTTTTCCGAGTATTTGTGCATGGTTTTTGAACTTCAGCATCCACATCATCTTTGTGTTCTGGCTCCGAAGTGTGAAGGAAACAGAACAGGTTGAAAATTGAGCTATTTGCACTGAAAGGAAGAAAAAAAAAAAACCTATCTGGATTAATAACACTTTAAAAAKCATGATGTGAGAAGGGTAAAGGACACCTGCCTAGGTCAACTACCTACCTTCCAAAAGGTAACATTAGGATAACCCAGTTACAGGTCTGTTGCAGAAACCAAATGGACTTTAGACCTTCAGGGGGTTTTAGCTCAAATATGCTTAATTGATCCAACAGGAAGTGATATGAGATGGTCTGTCCAAGGTCAGAAAGTGTAATTTCTGTCCCAGATACTGTCTCCAAACACTGTTACTGCCTACAKATGGAAAGGCCATGACTAAAGTMCAAAATTTTCACCTTAGGCAGCTCWCAGRTTATCAAGCTGGAACACACTGAGCTTCTCAAAAGCTAAAGGGTTCTTTATGAAGGGGTAGATAAGTGCAAAGGTAAAAGGTATTTAAGGAGTGTGACATCCCTTTCTGCTCTCCTATACCCATCATTAAAACAGCCTTTTAGGCTTCAGAGTTTTCCAATAAAACAGTTAAAAGCAAGTAAAGGTGCATACAACATTATGGCAATTTTTATTAAGAAAGAAAACCTGATTTTTCCTTTATCCGTATCCTCTGAACTACTCAACATTCACCTTCCAAGYTTTATAATTACAAGTTATGCAGAGATTCAACAATAAGAGATACAGAAAGAAGACTGATAAACTCAGAGTTCCAGTATCTCTGGAAAAGATACTTGGATGAAAAGCATTGCTAACTTTTTACAGTTACAGGAGACACTGAGGGAGCCTTCTGCCAACACACATGAAGGGTGAGAAAACATAACAAAACAAGGGCTGCCACACATCTACTTCACAGTGCTGACAAAGCTTAAATGCTTAGCAGCTTGAACTTAGAGAGTAATGAATCCATCAAAAACCTCAGATACAAAAAAATAAACTACTTCTATCATAGTTGGAAAAAAWATGAAAATTCATTTTTTAGAAGAACTTTTAAACAGGGAGAGCTGTCCCATCTGATCCTATTTCAAACCTTCCCTCTGAGCAGTAAGCTGGTTGCAGATGCAGAAGAGCAAGCCTAGATAGACCAACACCCATTCCAAAGGTTACAGAATGTACCCCGAGGTGTGAATTCGCAACACTGCTTCTGTGGCTTTGCAGAATTCAGTGTACAGCAACAGCCACAGTGCAGCCAGCTCATCTCAATCCTTGGGTCTGCTTCACATCCAGCACCTTGAGAGCCCTGCTTGCATCACCATGTTTGGCCAGGTAGTAGGGAATACAACCATGGATTGTAGGSCTTTACATGGGAACAACTGGAAGGCTCACCTTGGAACTGAGGACTGGGAGCAACACAGCACAAAGTGTCCCTTTAATATTCACCAGTGCCAACTCTGGATCGCAGGAACAAGCAACAGGGTAGTTCAAGCTTTATCACATTCCTAATAGCTGGAACTTTGGCTTGCTACTCAGCTGGTAAAAGCTCCAAATTTAGGACCTGGCACATCCAGGCTATAGGATAATGATAGGATCAGATTATTCAGGCTGATATCTGAARGCCTGTTTTGGTTAACGACACTGCTGGTGCCATCAGAATGTATCACCACACCAGTGGAACCAGAGCATGCCAAAAACTCGGTCGCAAAACTAATTTTACCAGATACAAGCACAGCTGCTCACAGAGGTTGCAACTTCATCTCCCAAAAGTCAAGCCACTTTGTCTGAGTGTGTTGAAAGCCTAGATTCAAACAGCAGCAGGATGATGCAGCACAGCCAGGTCACCAGGGCCAGCCCTCAAAGAAATAAACACAAGCCAGCAGTGGATGCAGAATCAAGGTTTCAGCCCTTGACATTGGGAATAAAAGGCAGACCAGTGGATCTAAGCCTTTGGAAAGGGCAGGGTTGAAGAGGACTTTTAAACAACTCCAGAAGGAAAGCAGCAAGTGCACCTTGATGTGGATGAACAAACTTCATCTCACGCCAGCTCCAGTCAGGACTACTTTAGATAAAGGAATAAGCATAAAACAGTAAAGAAATGGCAACAGCAGATTCTTGTTATTCTCTTTGCTGGCACCACCCTGCATGACCTTCTMAAGAAGGAGCATCAGCCCTGTTTCAGTAATGAAACAAACCCTGTCAGGGTTTGAGCTTTTGTTATGAAGGTACATTTTGTACAGGGGAGGGTTCCCTCAACTCCAACCCATATGGCAATCTGAGGTCAGTTCTATAAATGAAGGAGATAGAAACCCAAAGCCAGGAAAACTGCCACATTCCCAAAAATTCATTAAGTTACATTAGTACTAGCGCTGTTTTTACAAGAACACACTCTCTTGTGAAGAGCAACTATGTTCTGAGGAACTCTGTCAAATCAGAGTACAATATTAAATAGCAGGGGTTATCTGCTGCTCGCTTTCCAGAGACCTGTGATGGGATTTGGTCTAATCCTAGCATTGCTCACTCTACTCTGAACTCTTCTTGGAGCCAGAAGTCACTGCCTGCAAAAATAATTTYTCCAGCTTCACTTGCCATTTTCTGTTCAGTTCTCCAAATTTCTTTCCCTATTGAATCTTGCCATCAGACATCTGGCCAATAGATCTCTCTGCTTTCAGCTCTGCAATCCAGAAGGGAGTGGCAATGGTGTCGAGCCAGCAGTTCCCATACTGTTCTGTACTCAGGAGAGGCTGATTTTGCCACTTTAATGTGCAGTCACACAACGTGGACAGCAACCCCTTCAGCACCAAACCTACCTTCAGGCAGAAGAAAATATCCCTACTGCACTAGATGGGCTAGATTAGAGCTCCGATATGTTAAAGAGCATAGCTGCACCAAAGTCAAACTGCAGATAACACACCTTGTGCAAGGTATACAGGACTCTAGAGTGCCTTTCCAGACACTCACAGTGCATCAATTTGAAGGAAAAGAGTGAGATTATTATCCTATGCAAACAACCTTTTACTTTGAATCAATCATTAAGCTCTTTTACAATTGATAAAGGTTTTAGCAGAATAGTCAAAGTAAGCCAATATATCCATCAATTAGATGGCTAAATCATTATCTTTAACTCATTTTTTAAATTTCTGTGATATATAATGGATCCATCTTGGATTTTTTCAAAAAAACTTGTTATCAATACAGGGGTCACAATTGGACCACTTAGTGCTATATATTCTTTTTAGGCAAAAAAGCTCAACATCGATGCTTTTTCCTCCTCTTTTTTCTTTTCATTTAAAACAGACTAACATCCTTCACAGAAGTATCTTCTCTATGCTGTACACAAGGTGCTCAAATGCTATGAGCAATAATGAATTCAGGGGGTTGCTAGTCAGAAGGAACAATAAATACATTGTTTTCTTTTTCCTTCTTCATGGGATGCTCATGCTGCAGGAAAGAGCAAAAAAAAGGTAAGAGAAACCATTTCAAAAATTWATAGAAACATTGAAGTTGTACAAGATAAGAAGCTACAAAGATCCCAAAAGCATGTTTAGACTCAGCATTTAATTCTCAAGCATCTGCCCCTGGAACAAGTGCTTCAAGGTGAGCAGCTCCCATGACAGGAATGCTCCTTTCTCAGCCCTGCTGCTCTAAGTGCCCGTGCTCAGGAGCACCTGTGCCCCTCAGCAATGCAATGCTCATAATGGAAACTTGTCCCTTTGGAAAGGCTCAGGATTCCAGCTTTAATAGCTAAAATAAACAAGCACAACTCCAAGRACAAATGCATGGAGGGCCATTAACYACACAGAAACCACTCCAGACAGCAAACGCAGGATAAACATCACTACCTGATGTCCTTACTTTCTCCCTTGGAATTGTTTGCCCAGCTAGGGACATGGGGAAGTTGCCAAAAAACGTTTGCCTTTCTTGCTGCCTTCCATGCATTAGGACCAGAGGTCCAGCAGAGAACCAGTCCCACAAATCAGCYAACCAAAGGCTTCTCCTCCCAGGATTTCAGAAAACTTTAATTCCCTCACTTCCAACACCAATCAGTCAGCCCAGAGCTCAGTGCCCCACCCACAGGGAGCTGCTTTTGTATCATACATACCGTKGTATTCTGTATAGCATCAGCAAAACTCTTTGCTGTTTCACCCAGGCCTGAGTCAACAGACTCAATTCTGAAAGGAAARGGAGCTTAGCTGGCTTTTCATGCAGCATTAGTACTTACTGGTGAGCTTGAACAGATGTATTTACCACCAAAAAAAACCCCCAAAGAATGGCAGGATTTTGCCCAGCATTTACACAGGCAGTGTCTTTTGTACAGGAAATTATCAWCTTCCACCTCCTCTGACCCCTAGAGAGAGTCATGTTGAGAGGGAGTGTTGCACCTTGTTCCGGATCTTGCCACAGCTCTCCTGAGCTCTGTTCCTCTCCTGCACTACTTCCCATACAGAGTTCCCTCATTGCACACTAATTCCGATTGAAAACCCTCACAAGGCTACAAAAGCTCAATCAATGGACACAAGTGGAGATGCCACACTGGATTTAGAATCCTTTCCCATACACCAGTAAGGGTACCACCAGGCTAACCAGTGCCCTCTGTGACCATCAGAGGACTTGTGAGCATGCAGGACAGCTGGCAGAGACACACCTTTGCTTTTGCTCGTTGCAGAAAGTATTCAGTTTAAGCAGCTGTGCATTCCAGAAATCCTAAAAAGGCACCCAAAGAAAACTCCTGTTACTGGAGAAGGGGCACCTTGTTGGGCTGGCACAAGAGAAATAGTACCCACCAGTGCATCTTTCTCCATGCTTGCCAGAATTTGAGTTTCCTTCTCAAGGTTGGCAAGCTCTTCAACAACAATCTTCTGGAAGGTCTCAAATTTATTCAGCCTAGTGGTGGAGATCAGAAACAATTTTGCCACTTTAATGTGCMGTCACACAAGGSGGACAACAACCCCTTCAGCACCAAACCTACCTTYAGGCAGAAGAAAATATCCCTACTGCRCYAGATGGGCTAGATTAGGTCTCAGATATGTTAAAGAGCATAGCTGCACCAAAGTCAAACTGCAGATAAATAYGGCTAAATAGCCTGTCCAAACAGTAGCCAGTAACAGAGGACTGAGACAGAGTAAACAAATACTTGCAATACTTGCTCTGTGTGCTCTCCCAGCCTCCAGGAAGCTCAGCAGCGATTTCCCAAATTGAAGGCATATCTAAGGCCCCTTCCAACCCAAATCATTCTATGGATATCTTGGCACAAATAATCTCTGAGGGATTTTCTTGCCATGGGTTTGATCGACAYATACAACGCTGGCAGAGGATGCCAGAAATTTTTAACCTCAACCAGCAACAYRCTTAYTGACTTGGGTTTGCCACCATTCCTKGTGGCAGTGAGGTAGRAAAAATTTGTCACAGCCCTGCATCCACTATCCTGTGACTCTGGTTAGATCCAGGTTACTTAGTTAGCAACCAAAGATTGCAGCATCTCACTGCCATCTACTTTTATCTTCCAGCACAAAACATCCCATTTTTTTCTTTTGGAACTCAAACATTTTCAGGTACGTTAATGACAGCAAATTCTGCTCATAGAGTTCCTAWTGATTCCAGGGATTTTTCACTATAAAAACCTTTATTTCCTGCTACCTTTGTTCTAAATCCTGAAAAGTAAATGTGYAATAGATAAAGAGACCTGGCATACTTACAAGTACTGTATAAGATACAAGTACCTCACATACAACAAATCCATAAGTATTAGAATTWATTTTTTGATCTAGCTCCTATCTGAGAAATTCAGGATCTGAGGGATGTCTTTTCTTCTCCACCTCATTAAGAAAAGCTTGGCTTCTTTCTTAAAAGATTTAGAAATAGAAGCTACTAAGTGTATCAAGCAAGTTTTTAAACAGATTCTTGAACACTCRTGACAGTCAGAAGACAGTCCAAGGACTGTTTCATCAGCTGCTTGCAACTCAAGCTTGCTTTGCATGAATTAATCCATCCTCTCCCCCTGCAGAAATTATACTTCTGAAACTATTCTTGCATTAAAGAAAAAAAATCCCAAACAAACAAACAAACAAACAAAAAAAAACATGAAAAAAAGCCCAACACACACACAAGCTATTTTGCCTCACAAATCATAAATGGAATAGAGACTGCCAGGTTGGCTTTTCCGATCAATCAAAATTTACCCTGACAGCTTACCTGCACTTGTGTATCTGGTCCAGCAGGGTAGAGAAGTTCTTCTCTGAAGACCTCAGGGCATTCTGTGTGTTGATCTCCATCCTTTTGTACCGGGACTAGGCATGGGGATGCACAGTTAGGCATGGCCCAAGSCAAAACCTAGAAATCTAGCTTGCAAAACCTTTCCCTGGAACACAAATCTCTCTGCAGGTTGCCAYTGAGCTTAGCAAAAACCATCTTAAGCCAAATTTGAACTGCAGTGAGATAATGCATAGGTGCTGCAAATATGAACTGATTGAATTCAGTCACAGCAGTTACAACAACAAGCCTCTTCAGGGTTGTGTCATATTAGGAAAAAATCTAATTAAAACTTCCTTCATGCCTTCCCTGTAACCCTTCTCAGAACACACAGGTTCTGCAGAAAACTTATAAGAGCTCCAGACTAGCAGACACTGCCATAAAAGCCCTGCTCTTGAACACAAAATAAAGATGGGATATTGGCACCAATTCTCCCTGAGACAATAAGGTAATAACATGATAAATTGCCACAGTTATTAAAAGAGCTCATGTTACCCAGAACAATTTCTTCAATTGGCCAAGAAAGCTTTCAAAGGCAGCAATCACTCCTGAATCACTCAAATCTTCGTGTAGCATCTTGGCAAAAAACACGTCATCTGTGCTATCCATTTCCTGACCTAGAAGGAAGYACATGCCCAGTTAGCATCATGCTGCAGGTCTTACTGGAATATAAACCTTCCTGCTACTGAAKGGCTTGCCATTCATGCAAGCAACAACTTTTGTTATGAAGCTGGAATTTGGGTCTTGTTCCTCTAGAGCTCACAAGCAGGATGGAAATTGGCTCAAAAATCCCTGAGAAATACTGCTCAGAGGACAGCAGGGAAGAAAAGGAACAWTAGAGCAACACAAAGAGCAATGTATTTATAGACAGTGAGGCAAATGCACAGCAAAAAGGTGAAAAATACGCTGGTCACCACTGTTTTCTGTTTTCTATTTATTCATTGCAGGGAAAGCCTGATCCCCTTATGCTCAGAGTTAACACTGTTTTGCAGTTACTTTGTCTGAATTCTGAATGATTTTTTTTTGAGCTCCTGTGTCTGATGGTTTTAATAGCTTTGGAAAATCACTACTCAGATTGACTAGTAAGTGTGGACATCATGGAGCAGCTGACCAAGTGGAACCCAAATTTCCTTATTCACACTCTACATATATGCTATCCACTGTCATTGGCAGTGCTGCAATTCACACCTTGTGATAATTTTGACTTTGAGATTTTGGAAAAGTTGGCCTCTCTACAGATACATCTCTTCAAGCTTCCGTGTGACTATGATTTCTACCACAAGAGAAGAAAAGCTGAAAGCATTTAAGCACTTCACTTTAGTTGTCAACCAGACTTTACCTTTTTGGATCTCTGCTTCTTCTTTCACTGAATCAAAAATTTTCTTTGATGTATGGCTAGTCTCTGCAGGCAAGGGATTTTTCTCCAAACTGGAAAATTTAGGCTTTTTTATGATAGTGTTGCTTAATATCTCTAGAAAGAGAATAGAAGATGTTTCAGAAAAAAAAAAAACAAAGTCCTGTTCTTTTGCATGAGGTGCATCACAAAACCTGCTCAAGCAGAAACCTGCACTGGAATTATCAATGCTTCAGAAAAGGAGGCAGCCTCACTTTATGGTCTGGCATCACACAGGACAGGATAAGACTTCACCTGCAGGCGTCATCCCTTGCAGAAACAGGAAACTAGCCTGCCCAGTGTTACACAGGTATTTGGAAAGCTTACATGTCTCCATCTTAAAGATAATTTCCTTTCTTGGCCTGCTACTCTAACCATCAAAAACCTCTGTCCAGCAACTTCCCATTCCCTTTTCCAGCCCAAGCTCTCAATCTGTTTATGAACAAAATTTGAAAAAATAAAATTTAATCAATCCAAACAATYTAAATCAAAGCTGCAAAATCTAAGGAAAATTTGCTATAAACCACAAAAGTGAACATCCTTTTGTCTCACTGTCCACTCTTTCTGAACTCAGGGAATTATCTGTTTGGCAGATCTCCCTAGAGTCTCCATAGGGCAGAAGAGAAGATGGTGAGGCTCAGGACATGTGGACAGTCAGACCAAGAACAGCATCCTAGAGTAGATTTAAGCTTCACAGAGAGGGTCCAAATGCAGTCAAGACCACACCTGAAATTTCTGAGCATAACCCTACTTGTGCCTCTGCRTGGCAACAACTCTTCTCCTATGGTAAAGCCTGTAGAGGAAACAGTGATAAAAATGAAGTCCTCAGCACGTATCTTCCCCCCAAATGAGGTAGATGTGCTGGTGCAGGAAAGGTGTATTCTGTAAATGATGGACAGGTACAAGATACATTGGGAAGATAAACATAGCCAGCTCATGAGAAAAGGGATGCTTTTGTCCAACAGCAAAGCTTCAGTGACTTCCTTCATAGCCACAACAATAATTCATCCTCTCAGAACTACATCAGCACTGAGAATTAGTAGCATGAAAAGAGCCCATTGCCGTTCAATTTTCAAGTCCAGTTGTTTCCAACCACAAAGAGTGTGCTTCAGTTTTGAGTTAGTTTATAAAAGTTCAATTTCATGTAAAAATTTTAAAAAATCCTGAAGTGCCACTTACCAATAAAGAAGCTACAGCAGTAATAAGCATTATCCAAGTCACCATTTAACAAATGCTTATAGCAATGGTTTAAGTTTATGTTTTTAGGTATAAAGAAAATCAATAACTTGAAGAGGTATTTGCTTCATTTAAACTGAAGTTGCAGTGCACTTTCACTTTTTTTTCTTAAAAAGTATATTTTGTGTGTCTCTCGGATCACTARTAGATAAATCCCCACCTGCACTACAAATGCCCTTGTAATCAAGGACAAGTTTTAAGAGTTAGCAACAAATACAGGAATGTTTATAAAACATCTTACTGCAGTCTGTCATGATACACAAAACAGAGAAACAGAATTCAGCAAAAAAGAAGTATCTCCAAAATGTCAGTGTTAATTTGTCATCRAAAGAAAATAACAACTTTGGCACCTCCTCTTTCTGCTTTTAAGCAACTCTTCCATGTTATTGAGAGTAACAAACCTGAGTCCTTCCGCTTGGCACTTTCTTCTTCTCTTGATTTGCTAGGTGTACTGTGAAACTTCTAAAGAGAGAAAGAAAACAAAATAAGGAGGTGCCCACCCTGCCCTGCAGACAAGCTGCCAGGGACCTGTCTAGCTGCAGGAAGTAAAGTGACTTGACACACTGGTTTTAGGTGAGAAGCCTGACAGCAGACTGGAAGGGGGTGAAGCATTGCATACTGCACCTGGGTGGCCTTCTGCACTTGGCTGGAATAGSTCCTGGCAGATGCACCAAGCAGCARTGGACTCCCTCCAGGCTCCTCTGAGAGYGTTTCATCTGTGTGAGAGATKAGCAAATGACACAGGCAACAGAGTYTGAATCCTGTATTGACTGRAAATCTCAATTTAATGGCACAGAAAATAAAGCCCAAGCCCTCTACACTGTCCTTTATCATAAAGGGAACAGGTGGTGGCTCAAACTCAGTCTGTTTTCCTGGTGGTTGTCAGTTAAGTTCATTCCTCCACCTCTTAATAGCACCAGCTTATCTTCTCCTTGTGCAAGAGACTGTTTACACAGACAATGTCTRCATCTTACAGCCATTACAAAGAATATCAGAAGGATATTCTGAATGAATGTTTACGGAAAGAAAACCCAAAAGGAAAACGGCAAAATCAAAAAGAAAAACCCAACACAAAAAAAAAATCTCATCCAAAACCAACAGACTCACACATATCAAAATTTTTCTAATGCACTAATTGAAGAAAATTAAAATACCAGCAAGATCCACAGTGGGTAAATCATCTCCCTTGGAGCTAAATGTGTTTTTTTCCTTTAGCATCTCCTTTTGAGCTCTTTGCCTTGATTCTCCCTGCTAAAATAAAACAAAGTCTAAGCAATATTTAAACACTACTGCAGAAGTAGGGGGTTGGGTGTTGTTTTGGAGAGAGGATTTTGGATTGTTGGTTCGTTTTTTAAAAACTCTAAGAGCAGATATATCGTTGAAATATGCCTAACATACTGTCTCTCCAACCCTGAAGGAGACTTGTGCCCTCAAGTTCATTGCATGCACCATTTCTCCCTTTAGGCATTACAGCTGTACATTTGATGGCGTTTTCCATAAGCAGAATAGAAGCATTATAGTCAAGAGAAAAAAAAAATCCAGGGGGAAGTAAGAGCTTTTACTGGAATGACTAGTCATAGAGATTATTTTTATAAAACATTCTGTATTTCAAATATATATATATATATATATATATATATATATATATATATATGTCTATTTATTTATTGATTTGCATTATTTAAAGCTGGACACTGGAAAAAGTCTGATGTTGTTAAACTGCATTTTATTTGTTTGATGTATGTCTGATCCACAAATTCCTCTGTTGTTACATAACCCACTGTTTGTTTTCCCAGAGGTACAGTTGAAAGTAGAGAAGGATGCTTCATGAACAAGGATTCAGTGTGAGTGTAGAACTTGGAATAAAAGCCAGCAAAGCAGAGATGAAGGTGAACTTTCCCAAGGCACTGCAGAGTACAGGCCAGAAGACAGCACAGGGACACAGCCTGGTAGGGCCAAAATGGGAATTCTGCGTTTTTTTGGTTAGGCAGGGCCCTATAGGCACTTGTTCTTGGCAGACCCCTTCGGCAGAACTCACTCCTGTGGAGCAGCACTTGCATCACTCAAAGCAAATGTCACTCTAAGGAATCCCTGTCCATATTTCACTTGTCAAAGGTAAATATCATTTCAGAACAACATGCTCAAGATTCATGCACAGTTGTTTTTGTGAAGTTTCCCATGTTTTCCTAAGATCTCCTCTATTAGATCAATACAGTAGCACTGAGACAAATCTGTCTATCAGAACATTCGAGAATTAAAAAAACACAGATTTATTTAATACTCACTTGTACACATTTTACATACATAATTTTTAAAATCTGAGATAGCGAAGTATGACACCTTACCTTCTTTGACTCGTAGTCACTGCCACTGCTTGCAGAAGACACTGGAAGCACTGCAAAGAGAAAAGCTTGCCCAGTTACTGGCCACCTGAAGTGTCTGCTTTGCTCAGTTAACTGACTTAACCATGATGAAGCCTTTTCAGTCTGGTTTTCTAGGCATTTACAAGGTAATAGTTCACAACACTTACGTTAAGTTTCAAAAAACCACCTTTTGCTAACAAAGTCAGATGCAATGATGCAAACATGCACAAGTCACTGCATCCTGAGGAGCAAAAAAAAAGTGAAAAATAAAAGGCAGCCTCAGCATCTTGTCTGATGGTCCCCAAGGTCACAGGCAAGACATGTAGGCTGACACTGTAGTGAGAACAACTGCCCTGGAAAGCCAAGTATAAAGCCTAATTTTGAATCTCAACTTCTTTTGCTTTTTCTTCCCTACAGAATCCAACAGCTACCTGAGCAAGCGTCATTTCTCCATGAGTGGAACAGCAACATTCTGCCACCTTCAGGGCAGTTTGGTCTGCATTTGGTGGTCACAGCAGCCGACAGCCCTGGAGCATGGCTGCAGGGGAGGTTCGCTGTCGGTCAGGCCCAAACAGAGAATACTRTCAGAGAATCGCATCTGACTTTGGAAAGTACTCAGAGGACAATTGGCTTATTATTGTATAAAAAGGAGAGCAGAATGCTCTGGTCTGCAAACTGTGACCATTTTCAAGATTTACTTGTCAAGTCAATTATGTTTCTGGGGAGATGAGGAAGGGAAAGTTGCAGGGAGGAGGTGTGGTAGCTTCAGAGAGATGTTTCTCCTATTCTGCTCAAGAGCATCAACACAGTCACCAGCTCAGGACCCACGGGCTCTTCAGCACCATCACASAGAAGGCTGCACCCCCACAGATGTTCACGTGCCAAATTTCCACCCTGACATTTGAAGCCCGCTTTGGGAAGGGAACCAGAGCCCAGTTGAAGTCCAAGATAGTGCAGCMCATCTCCTCCATGGGCATCCCTTGCTGCTGGCCTCAAGCCTGCTCTCTCCCACTCAGGAGAGTCAGGATTTGGCCAAGCACTCCTTTCTCAAACCGTTGTCAGCATTTGCTTTTCTGCAGCACAGTACAACATGCATAGGTGTAAATTGGKGACTAAGCTTACCTTTTAATTTACTTCTCACTCTGGGTCTTTTTCGGGTATAGTCAACAGATTTTGGCACCAACTGTATCTGAGAGTCAAGGATCCAGCTTTTTTCACTCTGACCAGTGCTTGTATTCTCATTGTTGCTTTCAGAGAAAAGATGTTTCCTGTAACTGGGCTAAAGACAATATTAAGTCCTGCTCAATCAGCTCGCTGAGAAGCCCCTCAGCCATTCCCCTTCAGCAACTACCAAGTTATCCCATTTCTTCCTCGCCACAGTGCAACACATAAAGCTGTGAAATCTGCCTAAACAGTCACAGCCAGCTGTTGAAACAGCAGTTTAGAAACACCAGGAGGCAGATGTTTGCCTTTTGCCAGCAAGGGGCTTTTACTGTATCTTCCTTCCTTGTCTCTCCATCTCTCTGTGCCTAAAATAAGAGCGTTCTTGCAAGGAGGAAAGCCTCGGTCTGTCTGAGCTGCATCCAGCAGCACATCATGGGGGAAAAAGGTAACACAGACAATTCACTATCTGGTCTGGACAGTGATGGTGCATCATCTACAGAATGTTTCAGTCTGTAGCTGAGCACTGATRTCAAAATGACAGACTATTTAGAGGCTGCCAGGCTCACATTCCTCCACCTCTGCACTGGATAAGCCTCAAACATCAGCTTCTTAAACGGTGCAACGGATTTGTACAGGTAGAACTATACAGCAATCAAATACGCAGCAATCAAAGGCTCTAGGGATGGAAAAGCAAAGACAACCTACCTGCCTYTTGTCAAGGCTGTTTGATCCCTTGCTCTTGCTTCTTGTTTCRTAAGTCCTGCCAAGTAATACAAAAACCCAAATTAGAGTAGCAAACACTGCAATATCACACCACAGCACTGCAGAACGGGCACAGCCGAGTAGAAGGGACAAGAGGCTCCTCAAGAGATCCGCAGAAGAACCAAACTGTTAAAGTKCAGTCAGCAGCCAAATTTTTCCTTTCTTGGATTTTGGCAGTTCAGMGATATCTAGGAATAAGTACTTTTTAAAATAAAAATTAACCTGTATACTTAGAAGTGGCAAGCCCCTAGCAGCTTGCTATGACAGGAAGGCAGCCAAAGCATTTTTCAAAAACTAAATCAGTAATTTCAGCATATGATCAAGAAAGAATGATGTTTAACAGTTAAAACCTTATTATTGTCAAAGCTGATGAGAGTCACTATTCTCTCCAGTARCCTTTATATTCTCAGGCACTATTTAAATATTGTTACTGAATATCAATAACATCCCCAGATAGTGTGGTAGCTAAGCAAGGAACTATTGTATTAGAAAAATCACACAGMCTTTTGGATCTTGACTTTAAAAAGCTATAATTCTTTTTCACATAGCAAAAGGTTCATGAACACTACATGTATAATCCTGTACCTCTGAATTTTTGAAGAAATGTTCTGGCCAAGAATCTTTCCTTTAGCTTCAGCAACCTGAAAGGGAGGCAGAAAGTTGGAGTGCAGCTGCCCGATAAAATACTCTACATAATTAAAATGTATCAGAACTCAGAAGGGAAGTGCACTACAAGTCCTGCATGGAAATTTCACTTTCTAACGGAATGGGATTTGTTGATTGAAACGGTGTCATAAATTATAAGAGATAAACATTTGAGTCTTAAACAGAGCTCCTTTCTCTTTTCCTTGGTTTATGAATAATGCTCATTTTAAACACCGACATCACAACACACATCATTTGAATCCATAGCACGGCTGGCACAGCCCTGTGAGTGGAGTGCAGGGTCCCTGGACAGCCCTGGGACAGGCTGCAGGGACCGGGACAGGGTGCCACGGCACAGGGACTTGTGCTGACATCCAGTGGCGGTAGCAAGGATCGGGCCATGTCCAGTTTGCAAGAGAAATTTGGGATGTTCCGTTCAGCACCCATTGCCTCAGAATCAGCGGGCGACAGGCCCACACCAGGGAGGAGGCTGAAAACCAAAGGGTCTGTACAGCACAGCCACCTTGATGGGAGCCATCAGGAGCAAGCTGACAGCTTCCTGGGAAAACCCACACTGAGCAAAGGTCCAAAGCAAGCAAAGTGATTTTGGTT